TATATATATATATATATATATATATATATATATATATATTCTCCCGAGGTTGAAAAAAATGCTTGGCCTCGAACTTACATCCTTAAGGGGCTAAATAATTGGTGATGTAGTCCTACCATTCTTCTCATTACTTTGTCTTCAATAAACCAATTGATCCAACACGATTTGTAGTAGAACTCTAAGATACCGAACTTTGGAATACCAAACTGAATCTTGATTTTTCCTTCAGGCTCACAATCCAGTATTTCATAAGCTGTAACACACATATTTTTTTCTTCATAATTGATTTTTGAAATTTCTTGCACGTTTGGGTTATCGACATCTGTCTTTTCTATCGAGATCTACCTCTTCATATTCTCAATCTTCTTGCTGCAATCTAATAAATAGATCTTAGATCTACTTCTTCATATTCTTGATCCTCTTGCTGTAATCTAGTAAATAGAACTTATAGACTTTATTATATTACTTGGCAGATTTGTTCTATTAATTTTTCTTTGAGTCTCTCAAATTTTTTTATTTAATTGTTTAATGTTGGGTTTATTTGGCTTTTAAAGGCCTTATGAGTGTGTAATGAAAAATATTTATTATAGTGGAACATAAACTCAGTTGGAATGTGGTCCCTCGAGGACCATACTAAGCAAATGATACCGGACTGTGCTTGACGATTTAGGCCAGTAGGTTGGAAAACCCAAGGTACCTATGCATAAAAAATAAATCCAGAAGGGTTTTTGGGTTAGCCCTTGATGAGATCGGAACTTATGCCTAAATGAGTGAGCCGAGGGACTGTGTGACCCTTGTGTATGATGGTAGTAGGCCTATAGAGATGGGGGCCAAAACCTTATCCATGATCCATCACACGGCATGCATATAGATAGATCGTTCGGAAAAGCCAGATATCCACCTTTGGGTGAAACATATGCATGTGCGAGAGATACCCCTATGCGCCATAGAGCTGTGGTCGCTTCAGGTCGTGGTGACCTTAATTTGTCTCTTGGGGAGGATATGTAATCCACAGACTGGGATTGTGACTCCTTAGCTCATCGAACAGACTTTGATGACTCGTTAATGAGCCCCTGCTTGGACTGTGGGTTATGAAAAACACTGGGTCGATTCGATAAAGTAAGTGTGGTCTGTAGTCCACAGTTGAAGGTGGAGTACCTCGTAATCGTTGATAGAATTCTTGAACCATATGGATCCTCTTCTCATTATATTAATTTAATTGTTTTCATTTTATTATAGAAATTATTGTAAATTTATTATTTGAATTTTTATGAATCTTTAAATATTTTATT